TGCATGCAGACTGCTGCTCTGCCCCATCTCTCTGCGGGGCTGATGATGCAGACTGCTGCTCTGCCCCATCTCTCTGCGGGGCTGATGATGCAGACTGCTGCTCTGCCCCATCTCTCTGCAGGCGGACTTCGCTGTGGAGGCCCTAGCCAAGGCTACTTACGAGAGGCTGTTTCGCTGGCTGGTCCACCGCATCAACAAGGCTCTGGACAGGACCAAGCGCCAGGGAGCCTCCTTCATCGGCATCCTGGACATCGCCGGCTTTGAGATCTTCCAGGTACCACGACATCTTCTGCGTATCGGCTGGCCACAGGAAAAGTGCGCTGGCGGTCTGATCTCGGCCTTTTTGGAACCCTTTACTGTAGGAAGAGAATGTACATTAAATACTTGGCATTTGAAGAAGCGCCTGACATTTTTGTTGTACACCTACATTTAAATAAAACACTTAATAAGAATCAACCCTGGGTTCCAGTAGTTAAAGGTTGCTGTGCTGCCTAACGGTCTTAGGCGTTTGTGTCTTGAAGAAGTCTAACTTTCCATTGGTAATGAATTACCTGTTTTTTTCTCTCTAAATTAGGTCTGTTTTTATTTTATTTTCAGTAGTTTTGTTTAATAAGTAGAAAATTTGCCGCAGCTGATTTTCTACCCAGAGGCAGGATCTTATGACTAAAATGCCGAAATTGGCATAAACAATACCGATGTTGAAATTAAGCAGCTTTAAGGACCCTCGTCTGTTATCTGGGGAGCATGCATCTTACTTATAGAATGGTCACTGAAGTCAGTAGCCAGCACTTATTGTATGAAAACTATTTCTGCAACTACATTTGAATCAAAGCCCTTTTCAGAATTAATGTAATTGTATTTAGGTACCCAACCATCTGACCTAACTTGGTTATCTTGCTTTATTTCTCTGGATGCTGACGGATCAGTGAGAGCTAAGCTAATAAAATGAAGAGGAGTCAGTTTTAAATTGAGTTAAGCCAGTATGATTATTAGAAAAGCAAGGCGACGTCCACGTTTCCATGTATAGCCTGCAACTGATCTATGTTCTTCTCTGCAGCTGAACTCCTTCGAGCAGCTGTGCATCAACTACACCAACGAGAAGCTGCAGCAGCTGTTCAACCACACCATGTTCATCTTGGAGCAGGAGGAGTACCAGAGGGAAGGCATCGAGTGGAGCTTCATCGACTTCGGCCTGGACCTGCAGCCCTGCATCGACCTCATCGAGCGGCCGGTCCGTATCATTTGTCCTGGAAGATTTAAAACTCACGAGTAACTCATATCGTCATACGTTTTTATTAGGAACTTTGCACTGTCTTGGAACAGCATTCATCAGTTCCATTAGAGGGCTACAGTTTTGAGTGACAGCTCTTTTGAGCTGTGCTGATTTATAGACAGGGTGGATTGAGGCCTTGCAGGATTGAATAGGAGTCGTGTGGATTTGAACTAAAATTACCATTGTTCTCCTAACACAGGCAAACCCACCCGGTGTTCTGGCCCTGCTAGATGAGGAGTGTTGGTTCCCCAAGGCCACGGACAAGACGTTTGTGGATAAGTTGGTCCAGGAACAGGGCACCCACCCAAAGTTCCAGAAGCCCAGGCAGCTGAAGGACAAGGCAGATTTCTGCATTATACACTACGCTGGAAAGGTACTGTATTCATTCAGTCCTTTATCCAGAGAGACACTATATTTTACCAATCAATTGCAGTTAAGTGTAGAGGCTTCACACATAATTCCAATTATGCTGTGGGATGACAAGCACTTGTGAACTAAATGCGTTCTAAGGGCAGAGGTCACAACTGCCGGGTTGAATAGGTTTTGAATGAAAGGAGTAATAGATTCAGAAAAGATGAAGTTTAAGGGTATTTTCCTGCCATACATTGCAAGTAGATATTGATGGAAACCTAATGAACAGCTTACATGGTGTGTCTTGGAGGAGTTTGAGCTCCGATTCCTTGTGACATCCCTCACATCCCAGAGGAGCACTGAACCAGTTCCAGTACAGCTCATTTTTTGTGTGCACTGGAAAAATGCTCTTTATCTGTTCGGATTTCTTGAACAGTATACATTATGTCTGTCTAGTGTTTGACTTTGTTTTTATTGATTAGATAAATGTTGTTGGGAAAGAGATATTGGCCGGAGCTTTGACACTATCCCTGTGTGCAGAAAGGCGCTTTATCCACATCTGTTTCCCATTTGGGATGTGCACGACTTGTACTGTTGCGTAAATCAAACTTTTTCCCCCTTATTGACGCACATTTGTGAAGATTATGTACACACTGCAGCCCTGGTCATTTATGTCAGGGACTCGCATTTGCTTTTACGGTCCAAAATCAAATCCAAAGTGTGACGAGGAATGCTATAGGACAGTCACTGCAGACTAAGAGGGGCTGCAAAAGCTGGCTGAGATATGAGGTGACCCTTTGGCAAACTATGCCCAGGTGGACTACAAGGCAGATGAGTGGCTGATGAAGAACATGGACCCCCTCAATGACAACGTGGCCACACTCCTGCACCAGTCGACGGACAAGTTTGTGGCAGAGCTCTGGAAGGACGGTGAGTTTCTGTTCCTGGTTTCGCAGTCCGGTTGAGAGCCCCCTTCATGCTGTTAGTGGAAGGTGATGTGAAGATGTTGGTCTGCATAGGAGTGTCGTCGAGTTTAGCTGGGGACATCAGGATGTTTCCAAGGTTACGTTCATATTGCGGGACAAATGTGGCCCAAATCCAATTTTTTGCTCATATGTGACTCATCGCATTTTTTCATAACAATGTGAACAGCACAAGCCACATGGAATCCGGTTTTTTTTTTTCTCAATTCCGATTCGGGCCATTTCAGTATGTGGTCATAAATCGGATGCAGGTCTGATTTTTTGCAATGGGACCTCCAGTCTGAACAGCAAAATTGGAATTCATGCGACTTTTATGTCACTCTCGATCAACGTTCGTCACAATTCTGCGCAGGCGGAAGTCACCATATGTCTCCGTCAGAGTGCCAAACATGGAGGAGAGCACAGAAGCTGCCCAGTGGAGGGACAGCGAGGTCCTGGATTTAATAAGTATTTGGGGAGATAAATCTGGAAGATCGTAACTGGGGAGTTTCCGAATCAATAAAGTGGCGTCTTTGTTTTGTGCGCACGCGGGCCAGTTCAGTATAGTTAACCGTTCACATTGAAATCTGATATTTCCCACATTAAAAAGAGTAATGTGAACAGGCAAATAAAAAATCCGATCTGAGCAGGAAATCAGAATTGAGCATTAAGCCCTGCAGTGTGAACGTAGCCCAAGTGCCTCTGTGTGCCTTCTCTCTTGGAGATAGCCGGAAGCTTTAGCTTTAACGCTCAATCAAAACTGTGTGTTCAAGTGGACCTTTTAAATAAAATAGGCTGCAGAAACTGACAGGTATTCATTAAAATTCCCTGAAGTTATTAATAGCTGTGGCGGTTCTACATTATACTCAGCAAAGCGAGTCAGTGATAATTGCAGGTAACAAACCATAAATTATTCATTACCTTCCATGAATAATTGGTGGATCATAATTACAATCGACAAGGGTGTGCTTGGTGAGAGAGAGACGGATTTGGGGATGGAGGTGATCGATCATGTTTCTAAACTGAGTAATTGAAACATTCAAATAGTTCCTGTGGTATTATGGACCATGAGAAAATTCCTGGGCCCAGTCTGCTTTATGGCCTTGGTTTGATCAGCTTTAATTAACATGTTTAGTCAGCGCTGCACCACTCTCCACATGGCTACTGAGGTTAAATGTCAAACTAGTATTTGTTTAATTTCCAAACTCTAGTAGTAGCCAATGTCGACATTCGTATGAGAGCGTAGAAATATGTCAAGTCAAGTAATCGTTACACCATATGTAATCGTTACACCAGCTACATAAATTGCAATTAAAAATGAAGGCCTACTGGTTTTGGCAAACTTCTACTCATCTGTTGTGCTGGTCTTGCTTGTAGAAGGGAAATGTTAATTTAATCAAATCTTTTTACTCTTGTAATTGAGATCAAGGTTTTCTGTGATTACAGGTTAACGGAATCTGGGTTTGTTTAGTGTGCCTGAATCTGTCCTGGGGAACAAAAAAAGTAAAAATGTATACATATGATTTCCATTAGTAAACGTTGAGTATGGACACCTGTCTTTGCCACATTGTTCCTCTGTTATTTCCTAGTTTTGTCCCCTCCCCCCTCTCTGTTTCTCTGATTTAGAGATTCAGAATATTCTAAGAGCCTCATTCTATGACAATATATCTAATCTCCATGACCCTCCAGGTGAATGAATGTAATGCTGTGGATCTGCTTGAAGGACACGTCGCGCTCTGACGCCCCCGCAGCTGGGCTTGCATGGTGCAGCATTGATATTATCTATTGTCAATGGGCCACAGTGGTACCTTTCAACAAATGTCTTCACCTGCATTCCAGATTGGCTTACCTCGATTGAGAATTTTGATCAATGTCTTCTGATGATGCTACAGTAGAAAAATCACATCTTGAAACATTTAAAATTTACATCTGGCAATTTCCTGTAATTCATAATTGATCCTGCTGTCACTTCACGTCCACTCTAAGCAGCTCTTTAGATTCCAGTTTTTTTGAGCAGCATTGGTAAATATATTTGACCTTGTGCCCAAGAATCTTTTTGTGCTGCTCAGAAAGGTGGCTTGGTCAGCTGTCTGCCAAGGTGTGCCACAGACAAAAATATTGGTCAAAAAGGTGACTTGGCTACACATAGCTGCTAGTATTTTTATAGCTGAACATTTACTTTATTGGTGTTCTTATGGTTCAAAACTTTGGCCCTGTATTTTTTGCTAATATTAATACTGCATTTATTAAGATGCATCTTTTAAACTAAAAAAATCTGTCCTAATTTTGTAGTTCAAATACACTACCTGCATGTCCCTCACATTTTATTCCATGTCCTGGTAGTAATAGTAGCATTATTTATGTGTCACTTTTCTAGCTATGCATCACACAAGGTTTTTTAAAAACAAAGGATTAAAAAAAAAAGGACAAGAAAATGATAGCGAAAAAGAACTTTTATGCAGAACTTCTGAGTCTAAAGTTATGCTAGAATTTTTTCAACGGGGCACAAGAATTTTGACAGTGTGATGTATCCTTTACTGCTGTCATTTGGATGGAACAAGAACTGCGTAATTCTCCAGCCTCGCAGCTGAGCAGCGTGACTGACAGGGAAAATAATAATGGAATTTGTGTTGGGCTCCTCCAGTGCTGCAGGTTTAGAATCAGAACCACATGTGGCGCTGATCAGAGCAGATGAGGTTGGTGTGGAGGAGCTCCAGCAGAGTGTGAAAGATTGTCACTTTTTTTTCTTATGGAATTGGCCCTGATAGACATTCCAGCCGCTTCCTTTTAATACTTTTCTGGGTTGCAGGCCAACGTTAATATTTTAGTCATAGGTGCTTGGGTTGACATAACGGGCTGTTCTTTCTCTAAGTGTATGTTTTAGTCTCCATTTTATCCAGAAACTATGCTATGCTTGCTAGATATTCTTTGGTTTATCTGGTTTAGTCAATAAATTGGGTAAGATCTCAGACTTTAGCGTTAGTTTTAAGTCTTCAAGCACGAGGCTTAAGACTTGGACACTGTTCATATCTGACACTTTGGTCTTGAGGAGTGATGTGTGTCAAAGAGGTCGTCTTGTATGTCTCCAAACTGCTGAAACTGCAGTGAAATTAACCTGGCACACTGGACTGATTTGAATTAAAATAGCATTGCAGATAGAGCTTTGAAGTATTTTATATACCAGTAATTCCCCCTGATTCAAAGTGTAGGGTCTAAAAAGAGCATGAGGACCCTTCCCAGCTGCTCTCTCCTTCATACAGGGCCAGTCCGAAGCTCTGTTCACTAGCCTTGCTTTCAATTTGCCAATATCTATAAAATAAAAGGAAAGCACGTTCTCATGTAATCGTTTTTTGCTGTAAATTACGGATTCTTTTTATGTGGAATGAAAACCAGAATTAAAGATGAAATCATAGGGCAGCATTTGCTTAATGAGGCAATAGAAAAAAAAACGTAGTTGAACTTTCCAGTGGGAGAGCCAGCTAAGAGGAAGAATTGCTGAAAGGATATTCATGCTTAGGAAGCTGCTGCCATCAGGTCCTGCCCCCAGGCCTGCTTAGGAAGCTGCTGCCATCAGGTCCTGCCCCCAGGCCTGCTTAGGAAGCTGCTACCATCAGGTCCTGCCCCCAGGCCTGCTTAGGAAGCTGCTACCATCAGGTCCTGCCCCCAGGC